CAAGCAAGTCCCCATACAAACTGGGTCTAAGGAGGTATGTCTCTTGTATGGAGCAGCATTTGAGACGAGACAGAATAGGCTTGAATGGCTCATTAAGGCCCATTTCACACATATGATCCTGTCAGCAACAACTTACCAGAAAACAAGAATTTCTTTACAGGACAGATAAATAACTTCCCTAATTCAACAGTTTAGCATCCTGGTGAAAATGAGAATATTACATGCAATCAATAAAACAAGGATTGTACATAGAACAATATTGGACCTCTGAAAAGTACAAGCATGCATATGTACTCAGTACTTGGTTTGGGCCTCTTTTGCAGCAATTACTGCCATTACTTTTGCACGATATTCTAATTATTCGAGTTTCACCTGTATATACTAGCATACTAGTATATATACTAACATACTAGCTAAAGGGAAAGTAGTGGTAAAAAAATGCATCAGTGGGTTTAACTGGTCATTATTATACAGGATTTATATAGCGTCAACAGTTTGCACAGCGCTTTACAATATAGGAAAGATATTACAATTCAATAAAATTCAAGACAAGATGGTAAGGAGGGTCCTGCCTGTGAGGGCTTACAATCTAAAAGGGAGGGATCATTCTTTGTATGTGAATTCATCCTGGTCCACGAAGATGTAGTAGGAGTGTGTCCTTTGCCTACATACTTTGTGCTAGAAGGTGTCTCATCTCAGAAAGTTGTATCTGTGTAAATAAGATAAAATTAGATGATTGTATTTCTACTGAAGTCAATAATGTGTGACCAATAACTCTACAAGGAAAATCTACTTCTTTATCTCCAGATGCCAAGGATTTTAGGTGCCCCTGTGGTGTACTACAATATCAATTTCTCAAAGCAACAGCACTGATTGCTGCCTGGTGGTGCTTTGCAGACATGTAACCCCGCAAAAATGTCATTTAGTTTGGGATCAATTTTTTTATTTTTTATTTTTTAGAATAGATTTGTATCTGAAAGAATGAGTTGTAGTCAGTCATTATTCAACTGGTCTTGCTCTGCAATGTTAAAGACGTTTCTCTACTTATCCAAGTAGCATCCTCAGCTCTAATAAGTGTCCGGAACATAGCCTAACATTTCTGGTCACATGATAGGAGGTGCAAAGATTTGTAAAACCTCCTTGTTCTAACTTCAAAGTCTGCGACAGGTGTTAATTGATTTTGAGTTACATGGCAGTAAATCTGAATTATTATCAAGCTGCTGAGGTAGAGATGCTTCTATGAGATACATTTTAATTTAAGCACTTTGATAATTGATGAAAAATAGAGCTCAAACAAAAATAGAACTGATGCAGACATAAAGTTGGGTTTACTCATGACTGGCTTATCAAGACGACATTGACATTGAAGAGGGTCATATTGAGCTATATTGTTTCCAGAGCTGCAGTTACCAGTTCTGACAACTCATTTTGTGATTATATATGACAGTTCCATTTACTTTGCATTAAAAGTCCTTTAATGCAAAGTAAATACTTTGCATTAAAGAGAGACTTTGTATCCAAAAAAACAAATGTTCTTTGACGCTAACATAGTTAAGACATGTGGATGCAGTGGAAAGCTACTAGCTGTCTATTCCCATAATGAACATTCTACAAATGCCATAGTAGTGAATGGCTGGACCGTAGCCGTTTCTGTTCGGTAGCTGCAGTAAAGTGTTGGAAATATTAGTCGGAAGTAGACAGCCTGTTTATTAACTTCTCATTTGCCATTTACCATACGGTACCTCAGCGCTAGGTGAATATATTTTAATATTTATTTATTAGAAAAAAGGCACATTTGGTTTTTACAAATAAATTATGATAGAATAAACATGATGTAGAGCATGAAACAATAATATTACTATCATAAAAACATGAAGAGTAGAGACTTGCATCAGTAATGTCAGAACCCAAAGAACATTTTTATCATCTGAAAGAGGTTTGATATTGTACAACTGCTGAAATGGGGTAATTCATATAATAAATAAGGCATTGCCCAACAGATTTATTTAAAGTAGATCTAAACCCGCACACAAAAATCTCATATATGCTCTAAGATGTTCATGTGATTCCAAAAGTCGTTGTTAATCATTTTATGTATGCAATTTTCAAATAAATAATATCCGGTGATCCTGCAGTGAAGGTCCTTGTTGCGGCACTTCCTGTTATAGGGTGACAAGTAATTGAGGCCCTGCGTCGGAGGAAATCAGCAGTGCAGAGATGCAAAAAATCAGGGTAATGCTTCATGACACACAGTACTTTAGTAAACTAAATGCCAACCAGATTGGGTTTATATCTACCTTAAAGGAGAACTATGAGGTCAGGGCTTTTCCCCATAGTTCTCCTAAGGGTAACAGGAGGACACAAACTAGTCACCTCCCGTCACCCAAAGCTCAGTATACCGCGAGCTAGAGCTCACGGTATACTGAGACAGCCGCTGCCGGGACGGATCCCGACATTACTGTCAGGATCCACCCAGCTGCATGAGTGACAGCTGGCTCTGCCTATCTAGAGGCAGAGCCAGCTGTACACGCCCACTCCCCGTCCGTTCCGCCAGTCAGCGCTGGAGGATCGGACAGGGGAGGGGGGGGGGAATCCCTGCAGGGAGCAGTCCGGCTCTCTGCAGGGACAGGATCGAGAAATGAGCGAGCAACGGTATGTGTTCGCTCACTTCCTGATCTATTGAGCCGACCTGTGACAGTTTCATTGTCACAGGTCGGCTAGAACTATGAGGCTCAGTGATTTTCACTCGCCTCATAGTTCTCCTTTAATAAAGTCAGATCAGTTGAAATTGAAATCTGATGATTTGGTAAGGGTTACTTTTCACTGAAAATCATCCAAAGCTTTCCTGGATAACCCTTACATAGGCATCTCTATTCTAATGATCTACTATATACTAGGGAAGGGGATAAGCAAAATGTATATCGTGCACTTACCTTTTAGGTCACCAATCACCCAATACAGCACTTCAGAGCTAAAGCCAGAACAACTTTTAGTATTCTGAGCTAATCATCAATTGTGCAAAGGCAAGATTTTCTTATAAACTTGTTTGAGATTGATATCTAGCAGAGAGGAGGATCAAGGGAGAGGCCACGTGTGCTCTGTTTGGATGATTATTATTATTGGTTTATGGAGCGATACACTATCACATCATAGATTTTACACAATATCCTACAAAGGGTACAGGACTACTTCACCCCAGTCCAAATATTTTATTTATGCACCTATATTATTCAAGGTGGGAAATGCCATTATATCCTAGGACAAGCAGGATATATTTTGTCATTACAGCCAAAAATGGCTTTCATTAAATGTGTGTGAACATGAAAAAAAAAACATTTTGATAACCAATAACAGTTATTTAGAAAACATTGTAACTACTGTTGCATTGCTGATTATCTCTTATTGGTTACTACAGATTACTGTACATATTTGTTTTTTTATTTTATCATGAAATGCCACTTTTAGCATTACAATGTTAACTGTGCAAACTAGACCAGATATTTCTAAAATATTAAATTTTGGATACCCATAAATGTAGCATCTGATATACTGTATGTTACTTTGGCAGGCTTAGAAGGCATTCTGGAAGTCTATGGGCTACTAGACATGTGCGATTCGTTTCATTCCGAATCAAAATTTTGAAAAATTTTCTGAAATTCGGACATGCGGACACATTTGAATTTCTGAATCTTAATGCATCCAAATGTGTCCGAATCCGAATTTCGGTAAAAAACTAAACTGAATTGGACATGTGACTTTTCTGGCCAATCAGATGTGTTTTTTGGTTCAATGCATTCGAATGGGTCTGAACATTAATTTTCGCTACAGCAACATGGGAGCCATCTGATTGGCCAAAAAAGTCACATGCCGTAATGAAAATTCGTGTTCAGTATATACATATAATACTAAAGCTGAGGCTAATAGACCCAAATGCTATTCGGGTCTGTGAGCCTCAGGTTTAGTAATATATGTACATGGCTCCCAGACCCTAATGGCATTCGGGATCTCCCGAATGCAATTCCAAATCTCGGAACCCGAATGCCATTCGGATCTAGGAGATTCAGCTTTAGTATTAATATATTAATATATGGTTTTCTGTTTTACTTGTAACGAATATTTTTAAAACTCCGAATCTGGAAGCGGAACTAAATAGAATTTCAAATCGGAATCCCAAATTCCGAAATAACGGAATATCCGCACCAAATTTTTCCGCAGTTTACATATCTATGGCCTACAGATAATCATAACAGATAGTTACTGGTTTAATCTGGTGCAATCTGGGTGATGTGCAGACCAGGTAACCATTGTCCCCCTTTGTCACTGCAAAATTATGACAGTACCTTGGTCATAGCACATGCCTACTCTTCTGCTAGTGTCTGTATTAAGTGAGAAAATAACCTTTTGGGGCCAGATTGTTACTTAAAGTCTAATCAGTCATATGTGCAAAATACATGATCAAAGGCTAAGCAATCCACAGAAAATATATGTTCTCTAAACCCATAGTTCCACATTTCCTAATTGCCTATAAATACAAAAATAGAGGGCCTCAACCAAAATCCAGGCTTGGTTTTACAGGGAAAATGTAATTGGAAATTCAACAAGTGCAATAAAATTAAATACATCACCAATAACTATTAAAACGTGTCAGTCTTTTAAGACCTAACAAACTGTTTCACAATAAAAAAATGGCCAAATAAATCACATGATTAAAATCATCTCAGCAAATAATTACATCAGCTCCATGAATTTTAATTAAATCAAAGAAGGACTGTGTCTACCAACCAGTGGTTTTCAATATTTCACATTAAGACATTACATTAAAATATTGAACAAGGCATCAATAGTGCTTTCAAAAATAAAATACACATTTTCTTTCAATTAAACATTCTTCTTTTGTCTCTTTTTTACTTCATTTAAAGGATCTTACTATTTTTTTTAAGAAAAAGACCTACATTCAATGTCTCCTGAGATAACTTAAGTGGTTTAAAGAAATCTTAAAAGATGCCTGCTTTCTCTAGAAAGTGCATACCCATACAATAAGAGAATGCTCAATTTGCAATTTAACAGTCTTCAAAGTCTTCACCAGCTATTGCATCTGCCAAAGCTGCAAGTGCCTCAGCAATATCTGGATCCAAGTCATCTTCTGTGTCAATGCCATTTGTAATGATTGCATCTTTTTTTGAACCCCTAGCTGAACTTCTCTCTATCATGAGGGAAATCAGAGAAGGTTCTTTTGACCTCATGGTTGAATCTGTATCCACTGTAGATGGATTAGAGTCATGTCTATCATTATCAGAAGAATATGCACCAGCATCATGTTCAAAGCCTTCACTTTCAGGAAGCTCATTCACATCTGAAGAGTTACTTATGGAATTTGAACTATCTAATGTAAGCCCGCTCCTTTCTGCCTCGAGTGTTACACTTTCTGTAAAGGAGTTGTTTTCCTGAACTGACCCACACAGCTCATGCTGAATACATTCTGGTTCATCTGAATTGTGGCTCAGGTCAACATTTTGCTGTAAGCTTTGTGTAGAAGTTTTGGTCGGCCAGTTATCATCGGACTGTGAATAATGTGCATCTTGTTCTTTGATTTCTCCAGAAAAGTTAATATTTAAAACTGCATATGAGGAAACCGTTACCGGGTCGCCAGAATCAACTTCATCATTCTTGCCATTGATCTTTTCTGACACACTATACAGATCCTGCGAGCCAGTGAACCTGTCAATTACGTTGTGCCCTTCTTTCATCAGCTCACTGATTTTTATGGTGGGTGACTTGGAGCGGTCGTGTTCATAATTGTGGGCTTCATTCACATAGCCATTCGTGTGCGGTTCTTGGGGCTTGAACATATAACTAAAGATTTAAAAAAGATAAACATAAAGTTTTATTTTTTTTAATTGTTTTTATATTTTCTTAACGAGAACAGTTAAAAACATTGACACTGGATCCTGTGAAAAAAACATATCACTGCCTTATATTTAACAATATGTGAGCATTACACAGAGCATTAAAGTAATTAGTGCTATACAGATATATTCAATGCAAAAAGTGTAGAATCAAGAAATATATAACTTTAAAGGAGAGTGCACTATAACATAAGAAAATACAGGACAGTAGAAGAAGCCATCACCATAGTAGAGTATATAGGTAGGAACATGCAAACTATTCACACATGCTATGTACACAGTTTACCTGTTACCTGGGTAAAATCACATAGAGTTATTTTGTCTCACTATTCAAATACTTAAAGAATATTATTATTTCAGAATACGAATGGTCTTATTTTTAGAAAAACTTTTTTGTACTTTGCTTATACGGTTCAGTTCTCATCTACAGTAGTAAAGGTGAATACATCACTTATCCATTAACCTCTAAAGCTAACCCTTAAAACACAACTCTAGCTTCCACTATTTTAATTAAAATACACTGCCCCACACCCTTTTACTGCAATACTCACCTTCAGTTAGGTGCTTTCCCATGCAGAATGTCCTCTCTGGCACTCAGTGGAGATGCTCTTCTGGGCTTAAGGACAGCCTGCGCCATTCAACCCACTTCATGTAAACCCAGACTGTTTTAGAGCTAGGACCAGTAAGAGGGGGGGGTGCAGCTGTCC